CTGCGGGTGCAGACGCGGGTAGTTGCCATAACATTCGGGGAAATGTCTGGGCGTGGCGGTCGCGGAGACGGCCAACAGGAGCAGACCGGCGAGCACGAGCAACTTCATGGCTGGTGTGTGACGCCTCTGGGCCGGAGACGTCTTTTATACCAAACGAGCGCTTTTGCCTTGCAGTTCTGCTAACCGCAACGTGTTTAAGCCAGCAGGGAGCCTTGATAAACTAAGGCGATTAATGGCGCTGCGCATCAGCGCTTTCACGTTAGTGCAATGGCCAGCCAGAAAATTTCGGAACTGCCGCGCCCGTATTCATCGTCGTGCCATGAATGAACGTATTTGCAGCTGTACTCTTGTCGCAGGAGCACCTGTCCGTACATTGCACACGACTCGTTGAATGATTTCAGGGCGTGTTGAGCCCTGGCGTGGCAGTGGTTGTTAGCGTTGGCTATAAATTTCATTAGTGGTTGTTTGGCTGTTTGGTAACGCGTATCACCTTCGTGCACGATCAGCGTCAACATCTTAACTGCTCATTTCTGTGCAAAATGATTCGTTGAGTTTCCACAGTTAACACGCGCCCGTGTGGCCGGCTACATACCCTTCGCTCGGGTAGGGTTCAATTTGCCCCCGTTGAGATCTCGGGAATTAAGAAAGCTAGCGACACTATATTTAGAGGGTGTATGGATATTTACGTGAACTCACTTGTGTTAAGGTCTGAGGTTGCCAGGTCATGACCTTCGGGTCAAATAAGGCCAAACAAGGTAAAATTCCAGATTGGCCTCCAAGGTGCCCCAGAACCTAGGCAACTGTCTCTAAGCAAAAGACCACAAGCCCATTTAAGACCAGTGGCCTTGTTTGACGTTTTCAAGGTCATGTTGACAAAAATCCTACAAGACTGCTCTGAGTTTTGCAATTAGATAAGGCACAAATAGTAATAAATCAGGAGTAATAAATCGCATAGAGTAATAAATCAGGTTGGTTTTGACCTTGGTATGACCGTCATACCTGACCTTAAGTCAGCGTAACTTGCTCATTCAATATTGCTGTTGCCTAAGAAAGCATCTCAGAGATGTATGGCTTCGTCAGATACCCCGTCGTTGTATCAGACTGAACGATTCCCTAGAAATTGCCTTAGCTGAAACCATGGTCTAAACTTGACCTGCCATAGGTCAGCGACATTTCAAGTAACATCTATTTTGTTTGTCACAAGATCCGCTATTTAATTGTCTACAGCTAACCTTCCTTGGAAACCTTCCTTCCTTCCTTCCAGCTAAACTAACCTTGGAAAAGCCTTGGAGGGGGTCAATTTGACCCCCACCCGAGCGCGTGTTAAGCAATGCGCAATATAAATGCCGTTACGAGAAGTGGGAACAGTGAGAGGAGAATCCGGATTTTGAATGGGGGGGGGGGGGGTGGGGTTCGTCAAGACTTAACGAATGGCCTTCCAATCCGACGGGCCCCTATATTTCATTAAGGCCGTTTGTTCAGTCTTAAAAATCAGCGCCTGGCCGCCATCGTATCCTAAGGAGTTGCGGGTACCTGCCCTCAACTCAGCTGCGCCAGGGTGGCTGGATTAAAGACTCGAGTGGCTTCGGTGGTCACTATTTGCTCCTGGCGGGCGGGTCTGCGCCCGAGGTCAATGGCTACCAAAGCTCAGCGGGGTGGACCGAACCGGACACTACGACACGTTAAACCTCTGCCACAAAGTTCTGCCATTTAGCTGGAAGTTTACAATCGGATGGTCGTTCGCTCTCTTTCCGTAGGTAACCTGTGCCTTTTCTGGGCGTGAAGAAATGGCACTCCTCAAATATAACATAGGCCATTGCTGAGTTTAACAAAACGTCGGCCTGTCCCGGGCCTCGAAGATGAGAGATGCCTTTTCTGCACATGAGATGGTCACTTTCTCGGTCTAAAATGGCTGGTCACCTGAGTAAAAGGGGCTCTTTTGAGGCCACTATGTCTCTTTCTAGACCTGAGTGAGCCCTTTACGAGCATACCGTGAACCCCGCCTGAACCGAAAACGGGTTTTTTTCTGCGCATACGATGGGCCTTTCTGTATCGGAGATGGGTCAGTTCCATTCCTGAACGTCAATGGGCGTTTCTTATTTGGAAATGGGCTCTTTTCAGATCTGAGACGGCCTCATCATAAGCTGAAGGCGGGGCACAGGCCTGGGGCACCGGGGCATACGTGTATTCTATGTGGTCCACGCGGTCTCGTAGGGCCCTTCGGGACCGACGATTAAGGGTCCGACTAGGAGGCCCGAAGAGTTGGCCAGAGGATGCCTCATGGAACCGAGGCCCACAAATGCCCATCAGAGGGCCTCTTGCGCCGATTGGGGGCCCCTGGGGGGCAATGAGGGCCAGCCAGTCGATGCGCGACCGCGCATTCTCAACAGTTTGCCCCGTAGCGGCGTATGGCCCATTTCCAAAGTCGGGACCATCCTCGGCCCGCGAATGTCAATCAGAGGCCTTTGCATTAGTCGGGTCCCAAAGATAATGGTGGACCGCAGTGTTGGTAATAGGCCACAGTATGCCTAAAGGGGGACCCTACGGCGGCAAGAGCACCGAGTCGGCCAGGGTTCCGTTTTCTGGACAGGTAAAGGAGCATGACCGCGAATGTCAAGGGGGCTCTTAAGTTGACCGGGCCCGCTGATAATGAAAGAGATAGGATTAATGCCAATGCATGGATTCATAATGAGACAGAGAGAAAGGGCCCTGCGTAAAACACGGGCCCAATAACGAACATGGCCCTGGAGGTACACCCCATTTCGGTCAAAAGCCCGATAAACCGAACTAGAGTCATCTGCCAATTATTGGACCCCCTGTGTCGGTGAGGATTTTTTTTGGGGGGGCTTCACTTAGCCATCCTGCGTGGATCAGGGATTAGCTGCTCCTGTCTGAGGGCCTTGCGCGTCAGGGAGGGGACCGATGCATGGTGCATCTCTCTGCGGCCTTCGTGTCCGACATGTGAGCTCTGGTCACCGTGTCTCCAGGATAGTAGTCAGCAAGCATCCCG